CATATATGGCTCAATGTAGCTGGATTTCAAAATACCCTTGTGCTGAAGATGCATCACCTGGTGGTCTGGCCCTCTGAGCTTCCTCATTGTTGTGGTTGATACCAGGGTGTCAGTGGCATTTGGGTCATGTTTGGCAATGCTGTTCGTCTTTGACATCCCTGAGACCCCCTGCTTCTGTCGTAATCATGGAAACCTCCCCCAGGGTAACTACATGGAGGGCCATTGTTTGGTGCATGTTGCCTTAGTAGTTGCGGGCAATCTCTGGTCCAATGGCCCATTTGGTTGCAATGGTAACATCCCTCAAACCGTAAACTTCTTCTGCCTGTGCCTCCTTGGAAACCTCCTGGTTGTTGGTTCTGCATCTGATTCTCTGGCACTATCTGAGATTTAACTGTTTGAGGTGTCTGCTCTGCATTCTCTGGTTCTTCCTGAGCTTGAATTGTTGGAGGTGTCTGCCCTGCCTTCTCTGGAAGTTCCCCCTCCCTTCTCCTTGTCTTGTTCCTACAAGCTACGGTGTCTTGTTTTTTCTGCTATGTCTTCCCTCACTGGCAGGTCTGCTACTCGGACCACATTTATGCTGTGTGCCAATAGGCTGGCATATTCCAGATGGAGTATCAGACTTGTAACTCTTATAAATCTTTCTTCATCTTCACTCCAGATAGTTCTTTTAATTGGAAAGGTTAAAGCATCTGATCAGATTATTACCCTTTCCTTGATATCTGCGGTTGAGCCTGGCTCTGCGTCTAGTCTCAATTTAGTTTCTTTTGGTGACATGTTCTCTAACTATTCGAATGAATATTATTAAGTTATCAAAGATTGAAACACTAATCCTCCGACTAGCACCTTCGTTCCTGATAAATAATATCCTATGTCATCCGAACTTAACTTTAAATCTGGGTAGGTTTTTTTTTTTTTTTTTATGATTTAAGTTTTTTTTTTTTTTTTTTGTAAAATATTAATAAATTAAAAGATAACATTTTTTTGAAATTTTAAAATAAAAATTGTACAGTGTATCGTTTTTGACTTTGAGATAAGAAAATCGAAGTCTTGTGAAAATCTAAATCTACTGTGTACAGTGCATACTGAAATGTATGGAACTATGTAAATGTCATAATTTGTGTTAGATTTAATCAATTGGTGTTTGAATATTCTACAGTCTAGCTTGAAAGTCTATGATGTAAAGTTTCTCATATGTTAATTAGAAACCACTTTGTAATTCTGTCCCGGCGAATGTGTTCATCAATAACACTCAAAATTAAGCTTCAAAATGTTATAATATCTTTGTACCTCTTTTTAACAAGAAGAAGCTTATTTCCTTAAAAATGGGAAGAAAATGTGAATATGGTTAAACAACACAGCACATAACCGCCAAAACACACTTGCAAACAAGAATATCTCAAATAAACCGCCAATACACACTTGCAAACAAGAATATCTCAAATAAACCGCCAATACACACTTGCAAACAAGAATATCTCAAATAAACCGCCAATACGCACTTGCAAACAACAATATTTCAAATAAACCGCCAATACACACTTGCAAACAAGAATATCTCAAATAAACCGCCAATACGCACTTGCAAACAACAATATTTTCAAAACCAGACTCCTACAAATACCAAACTTCCCACGGTAAGATAACCTGTCTATTTTATAGTTCCAACTTCTGCCAATAAATATGATTTGTCCTTCTCAATATGGAGTGCCTAGCCTCATGTGAGTGGGACTGTGTGTCAAAACAAACAGAGTACTTTCAATTAGCATTTCACGAAATGGCGACTGCCGTGTGGCTTATTTTCAGCATGAGGACAAGACAAGATGGCAACTGATTTTCCAACCTTTGACCTGAAGAACAAAGGGATTTGAAAACACCTCGTGGCTCTCAGAGGGGAGTTTAAATAATGGCGGGGTGTAATCTTGTCAAGAAAATTGAACACAAAACAACACTGCAGTTTAAAATAACATTTCTATCTAGTTTACTATGAAAAAAATGGGCTTTATCTTATTGATATCATCACTTAAAGTTAGGAACCCTTACGCATAAGCTATAAACCTATCTACGTATTATTTGACTTTATAGTCCACTATTGGTCAACTGCTGCCATTTCGACACGCTAGGTGGGAGTATTATGGTAACTTATCAGCGACTATTAAATGACCGTCGTCAATTTAACGTAATGCTGTTGTAACTCCACATCTCGTATTCCACCCGCAATATCTTGGTTGAAACTAGAACAGTTATGACCACTGATAAAGCTTACACCTTAATCAAGCCTTTCCTCAAAAGGACTTTTTTAAAACAGTTCTCAACTGTTTTCGACTAGCACTGTCTTCAGTTACTCAACCCTAAGTTGATTCGCTATGCCTTGTTTGTTTTCAATTACTTGATCCCTAATCAATTCGCTATGTCCCATAGATCTTAACAATAATCGTTAAATGGACTTATATATCCTTACGTCATAGGCTAATTTAACTACTGACGTAACAAGGGACACCTACATGAAAACACAACAAGACACCTACCCAAAGTACAATGGCCTCACACATTTATATTTTAAAATACTACACACACACAAATTAATAGCATGCAGGGTTAGATATAAGAAAAAAAGAAATTGGAACTCACCCTGATTGTGAAAATGCAACGCCATGTGTTATGGAATTCTTATTGTTATAAATTTGGTTGTTTTAACATTAAATACACAGCTATTTTCAGGATCCGCTGGCCTCCGTCCAACACAAACCTATTTTGTACTGCATAAACTATGAAGAATTTGATTTAACAGGTTTCCTCTTACCAAGTATTCGAGCTCGTTGTGTCGAACGGAAGCCGCGTCTCCGGAAAACAGCTGGTTGTGTAGTCTCTTCTGTCCAACGAGAATCACGTCGCGGAACACCAATTGTTAACTGTGATGGTTATTCTCGCGTCCAGGAAAGAGAAGCTTAAAAAGGAGACTAAATGGAGTCTCGGAGATGTTTTCAAATTGGTACTTTAATTAATAAAAAGGCGTGGTACAGTCACAAACAGGATATTGTCCGACAGAAAAGCAGCTGTCTCTGGCCCTCGCTAGCAGAGAAAAGAGGCCGAACCGCTCAGGTGCTGCTCTTATATAGCTTCTGTAGGCTCCTCCCTGCGGGCCGGCCCTCCACATCTTAATGTCCGTTGTTACGTTTAAACAGAGGATTCAGGCATTGTACATTCAATAAATACTTAAACACGCCTCTTCTCCTCATATTGTCTTTCATCACTTTTCCTTTAACACATTCTAAACGTTGTAGTTAATATTCTAAAAAATACAGAAAATACTTCACGGCTGGTTTGGTTTCTGGTCATTCCGGATGTTGTCACATCTTACCCACGTCTGTAAACAATAACTTTATTCAAATAAACTATACCTTCATTTAATATTCAGCAATAATAATACGTCTATAGTTGCAGTGTTAAAATCAGTAGGTTTCGGTGTGCATCACTCCATGTCATTTCGCTACTAAATTAACCTCTATAAGAAATGGTAAACTAGCCACATGCTAACCGGAGATGAAGGATTTTCAGAATAAAAGCTTAACTGGTTGTGCACAATAATTTTCTGGTTTTTCAGTATAAAACAGCATTTAAACTGAAGGTACATTTAAGGTACATTATGCCATCAAAACATTGATTTTAATTTCTAACAGTACCCAAGAAAATCTCACTGAAAAATCTTTGCCTGAAACCCTTTAGAAAATAATTCTGCAATCCTGAGCTATTGATAATTTCACTGTAGCCTCAGGTGGTAATAAGCGCTGATCTTAGTGAATGAAACTGATTTTTTCCTGATGAGGCTCATTTGCATTTTCCTGTTTGCCATACATACATTGAAGTAGGCAGTGACATGTTGTAGCTAGAACTCTCAGGCAAGTAGAAGAAATTATAAATATGTATAAAAATAGCAGAGGATCACCGTGTGATATTTGCTTGGCAGCGCAGTTCTTATCTGTCTATTTGCTCCTCAATATTCAAACTCATTCTGCAACAACCTTCTGCTGGGATCCCAATTGAACTGTATGTGCAAGCTGCTAATGTTAGCTCAGTCAAAACAGGTCAGGCAACCTTGTACACTGTTTGCTTTCAGGTGGGATATTCCCATGGGTCATATTGACTGCACTCATCGTAGGTAGTATTAGCAGTAAGATGATCTGGACACAACACAGCATGCAGGGGGAATCCTCTTATTGGTGAAATTGGAGTGGCAATTTCTGACGGTCTTGACAATCTGGTGTTAACTGTCATCATACAAACCTGAAGAGCTCAAGAGATTGAAAGGCATTGTTTTGTTGCTTTCATTTTTAATCTTCATAGTCCATAATACATTCATTGAAAAGCCTGCTTCAATCCCATATTTACAGCTGCTGTTTACAGCTTGGGTGTAGGCAGTAAATCACTGTATCCTTTTCTCCACTATAATTCGCAGCTCACCTATTGAACTTGAGCTCACCCACGACTCTGCCCTAAACAAATGGAAGGGTTTCTTTATTACTACAGGCATCAACAAGTGTCCATTGGTGCTAGTTTATGCATCAAAAACTAGAAATATAAACAGAAAAGGAAGGATGACCTTTGCTCTGCAGCTTTTCCTTTTTATTGGACACATCTCCCTTTTTGAACACTTGCTTCTTTCCTCTCAGTCGCCTCTTGAAAAGGACTCAACCTCTTTTCACCCACAATCCTCACTACCTTTCTATTTATTTCAAGTCTGTTATTTCCACTGACTAAGATATAAATAAGACATACTAACTCTTATAAAAAGGACCTTTAGGATTATAAAACTGCAGATGGAATCTCATTGAACCACAAAGTGCCCCATGCCTCTGAATTAACAATGACATTACAGGGTAATTAAGTTTTCTTTACAATCCCAGCTGCAACACTGCACTGCAGCCTGTTTGATCTTAAGCTAAATGTAAAATACCCAGCATGCCTTCCTCATCAAACCACAAAACGGGACAAACTTCACCCACCCTTCGCTCTCCTCTTTCTCTCTCTCCTTCTCTCTCTCCTTCTCTCTCTCCTTCTCCTTGGCTTTGCGAGACTTGTGCAGGAGTCCGATCAGGATCACAGCAGCCCGAATGCCAGCCTTTTTGTTGTGGATTCGTCCTCCGGTCTGAGACATTTTGGGGGTCTCTGCCGGTGCCAGGAGGGGTTCGGGGGACAGACAATCCAAGGTCAGGCCAGCTCCAGGGTCCCCGGGCTGCAGGACCGGCTTGGGTTTGCGGGCTTCCAGTGTGAGTTGGGAATGTCACAATATTGGTTCTAAAAGCTGTCTGGTTTAGAGACAGCTGGCAACTTTCAGCCGAGCAAGTACCTGTTTGAGTTCTGACCCTGGATTCTCAGTTCTGTTGTGGTTTAGGTCTGGACCAGTAATCCAAAAGTTAAAATATCTGAAGCCACTTTTGGTTTGGCAGGTGGTCAGATCCGATTAAATCTCTGTTGATCTTTGTGTTGGAAACAATGCGTATTTCTTGTAATCCCAGCGGTCCAGACAGACAATGTTAGACTCCGGCTCAAGGTGAACTTCTATCTGCATCCCCTGGATAAGCAGTGAACCTGTGTATCCGAGCTCCATAACACATCATGCTCCCCGACGAGAGGATGGAGAGTGGCGCTACTGACAGCAATGCAGACACACATACTATGTCACAGCATCTCTCTGTCTACCTTCCTCTACCTTCCAACATCTCCCTCCTTCTGTAACATGCTCTGTTTCTTCCCTCTGTGTCTGCTGCTGCTGCTCTGCTCCTTCCTTCCTGACTGCTGAGCCCCTCCCTCCTTCATCTGATTGGATGGAGTTGGTAAAAGGACCGCCTCCTCCTCCTCCCCCTCTACTCTTTGCCTCCCTCTATCTCTCCCTGCCCTTGTTAATAATGTTATATTAGTCTCACTGACCTTGTTCTATCTATCTATCTATGCTTGATTTTATGATTTCATTTCAAGGCACATGCATGCCAACCGGCGCTCACCGCCTCTCTCTCTGACACACACACACAAACACACACACACATAAGTCCCTCTGTGTAAAATCTCAATTCAAAACAGGCTTATCAGCCTATTTCCTTCTGTGTCGTTGGCAAGGACATTAGAATTGAAATATAACCTCACAAAATGAAAGGAGATTAAATGACACCGCATGAAGAAAATATAATTTCACCAAATTTGACATGCCCTCCTTTGTGCACAGACACACAGGGAAAAATATAACACGTTTCTTCACGCTACATTTCTTGTTCGATGCCTACTATTATCCTGTCGTGCCACATCTTTTCTCCAATGTACCTGTATTTGTATTCCTCCCACTATTAAACTGTCAGCATGCTTCTCACTTTTCACAGTCTACTGTGTTTTCTGTCCATTTTGAGTCCGAGTGATTTTCCTCTTCTACAGATCACTAAACAGAGCTAAAGTAGTCAGGTCCCTAAAATATGTTTACATTTTTTTTTTTTACATTACATTGCATTTAGCTGACGCTTTTATCCAAAGCGACTTACAATAAGTGCGTTCGACCAACAAAATACAAACTTGAAGAAAACAGAATCATATAAGTACATCAGGTTTCATAGAGCAAAAACATTTCAAGTGCTACTCAACTGGCTTTAGATAAGCCAGCCCTTTATTAGTATATAAGTGCTTTGTTAGTAGTTCTATCGCTCGAAGTGGAGTCGAAAGAGATGAGTTTTCAGTCTGCGCCGGAAGGTGAGTAAGCTATCTGCTGTCCTGATGTCAATGGGGAGCTCATTCCACCATCTTGGAGCCAGGATAGCAAACCCACGTGTTTTTGCCGATGGGAACTTGGGTCCCCTTCGCAGCGAGGGTGCAGCGAGCCGTTTGGTTGATGCAGAGCAGAGTACACGTGCTGGGGTGTACGGTTTAACCATGTCCTGGATGTAGGAAGGGCCAGATCCATTCGCAGCATGGTACGCAAGTACCATTGTCTTGAAGTGGATTCTAGCAGTTATCGGAAGCCAGTGAAGGCAGCGGAGGAGCGGCGTGGTGTGGGAGAATTTAGGAAGGTTGAAGACCAGACGAGCCGCTGCATTCTGGATGAGCTGCAGAGGTCGGATGGCACATGCAGGTCGACCAGCCAGGAGGGAGTTGCAGTAGTCTAGGCGTGAGATGACGAGAGCCTGGACCAGAACCTGCGTCGCTTTCTGGGTCAGCTGGGGACGCATCCTCCTGATGTTGTAAAGCGTGTATCTGCAGCAGCGGGTTGTAGCAGCTATGTTTGCAGTGAAGGACAGGTTGTTATCTAGGGTCACACCCAGATTCCTTGCAGTCTGAGTTGGGAAACAACAGAGGTGCCGATGTTGATTGTTAGGTCAAGAGTGGGACAATCTTTTCCCGGAATGAAGAGCAGTTCAGTCTTGTCAATGTTGAGCTTGAGGTGGTGAGCAGACATCCACTGAGAGATGTCAGCTAGACAAGCAGAGATGCGTGCGACGACCTGGATCTCTGAGCGGGGAAAGGACAGAATTAATTGGGTGTCGTCAGCGTAGCAGTGGTAAGAAAAACCATGCGGGCTAATGACTGATCCGAGCGAGTTTGTGTACAAGGAGAAGAGGAGGGGACCAAGAACAGAGCCCTGAGGGACCCCTGTAGTTAATGGACAAGGGTCGGACTCGGACCCTCTTCAAGTCACCCTGTAGGTGCGGTCTTTGAGGTATGAGGTGAGGAGGGAAAGTGCAGAGCCTGAAACTCCAAGTGCTTGGAGAGTGCGAAGGAGGATCTGATGATTCACCGTGTCGAATGCAGCAGACAGGTCCAAAAGGATGATGACTTTATTGATCTAAAGTGTTGTGTTTCAACCAATGCCTCCTATTTTCTTCCACTCTGTTAGGGATTGACTGAGTGAATGAGTGCTGGGTTCATAATTGACTCATAGCTTCAATAATTCTAGTAGCATTAAATAGCATTATTTTTTAATTGTTCTAATTAGTATCTACACCATATTTTTTAACAGAACAAGCTGCTTCATCATTAATTGATTCATTTGTATTCCTTTTTTTTCTTTCATTAGTTTTTTGTATAATTCATTATACAGGACTAGTAATTGATTTGATCTTGTTGAATACATCAAGTGGCAGCCAGGGAACAGTTAGCGTAGCTTAGCATTAAGAATGCAAGCAGGAGTCCATGGTTGCCTGGCCTAGTTACGTTGAAGTCATTGTATGGCTTTGACAAACACAATATAATTAGTGAGCTTGAGAGGTAGTGTTTGTATTTTTTCACCCTTTGGACAGAGCCAGTATGGTATTTTTCTGTTATCTCCAGTCTTTATGCTAAGCTAACCGTCTTTTGGCTCCTACTTTATACATCACAGACAGAAATTAGGGCAGCCTCACTCTTCTTATTTAACTTTCAGCAAGAAAGTGAATAGTAAGTATTTCCAAAAATACTAAATTAGGCTTCAAGCATTATACAAATACATATCCTGGTATATAGGAAGCAACCGTTATGTTTCTAGTTAATAATAAAATGGATTTCATGTGTTAATAGAAACTGTAACACCTTTTTGCACCATTGCGAGATTTGTGAACTTTCTTCCGTCTCATTACACAGCTCTACAGTCGGCCTTTACTGCACGGATTTCCTCATTTCTCTAATGAGTTCCTGTTATAAAAGGGTTTTTATATTATTACATAATACATATTACACATCTTTCAATTCAAGTTCAAAATAGCGGCGTGAATTATGACTTTCTCACGTGGCAGCAAAGATCTATAGACGGACAAGGACAAAGACATAAAGCAACATAAAAGCCTGACACTGCAGAGCTATACACAGTGAATCACAATGCACATCAGTGACACTGGCAAATGGGTATAATGTTTTTCGAAAAGCTGAAATGCAGCGTCACAGACTCCTTGTTTGGAGGATAATTAGAAAAATGAATCACTCAAGAAAGGAGACAAAGATATCTGAATAGATTTGATGCTTCAGACAGCAACCAGGGAATAGATTCAGCTGGGAAAACAGCAGCAACAAACACAACAATAACATTGAGGGTCCCATTTATCTCCTAATGCATTGCTTTTCCTGTGTATTGTCAGCGCTATAGCAACTGCAGAGCTGCCAGAGTATTTGCCCAGAGGACCCCCAAGGCTGTAAACCCTTGAGACCCACCCAATAAAAAAGGTTTGGTAGATTTGTAAGTTACTACCCTTTTTTGAATTTTTTTTTTTTTTCAACAGATCATGGCTTCCTTGCTTAAAGCCACCTGAGGATTTTCCAAACTCTTCCATGGAGCAAACAAAAAAGCTCAACTGGACTATCACATTTTCTCAAGAGATCAACTGCAAAAAAACAACAAAGAAAACATGCACAAACAATCTCTCTCTCCCTCACACATACACTAGCAGTTGCACGGCCATTTCACTGGGGCCTACTGTAAGTGCGTCATCAAGGGGGGAAATGAGACACCTGTACCCTTTTACTTTCAGACACAAAAACACCACTCACTCTCTTCCAATCACCCCCCCCCCCCGTTCTCTCACTCTCTCACACACACACACACACACACACACACACACACACACACACACACACACACACACACACACACACACACACACACTGATACCACCCCACAGGTGTGACAATGTTCCTGTGAGTCTCACTGAGGTGCACCAGTACACTTCTGAGCTTGAATACACATTCAGAGTAGATATAGTCTAGTTTGTACGTGCAGGCTATTAACGAGGAAATTCACCGATTCATCTTTTTGAGAAAGGAAAGTGTTTATTTCTTCAGTCATCTGTTTATTTTATTTTGATATATAAGTTTTATAGGTTTCTTGCAAGAGTCCCAAATCCATCAAATCCTCCAACAACCCTCAGATAAGGCCGTCAATAACCAAAAAGGCAGCCTCCTATTAATTATTTGGGTTTTTCATATTTTATTAATCCAAGCAACTGTTCAATTTAACTCTCTCCTAGAATGATAATCCACATTCTGCGCAAAGCCTTATTACTAGGAATACAATTCTGGGCAACAAGGTGGCTTAATCTTAGTTTTATTTTTGACGCATTGGGAACTGGAATCGACTTATGAAATATAAAAACATGTATTATTTGTTTGTGGCTGGAAAACAGTAATTATGATTAATCCTTTATATTGTGTTGCAGCAATAATTCACCCTTACTTGAAGCAAAATGACATGTTGGTTTTTATAATTCGAGTGAAAATCGATGACGGTTGACCACTTTGTCGGTTTGAAGTGTAGGTAAGCATGTACAGAACTAACCCTTTGTGTCTCTTAATTGCACACACTGAAACACTCATGTGTCTCTCAATGGTGTCAAGCAGCCTTTCCTGTCACTTCACAGCTTCTCAAGTGTCTCCCAAAACAAACAGATGCCAGTCTTCTAACGTCATCTCTCTTTGCTGCTTAATCTATTACGGGAAACACACACACACACACACACACACACACACACACACACACACACACACACCCATATAGATGACATGCTTAACTCTGAGATACACCATATAGTAAACAAAATGAATTTTGGCAGGCTCATAAAAGGTATTTTATGACACGTGTGTGTGTGTGTACACACACATACGTGTACTCATAATGCTTGACCCAGCGTCAAGCCTGCTGGAGAAAATGACCTTCACTGCTGCTGAGTAACCACTCCATCCCCCAACACACATACACACATCACACACTCATTACCTTCCTCTGCAGTTCAATTCCTTTTTTTCCCAATCCTCCTTGTTCTTTTTATATAAGAGAAAAA